TGAGATTTCTCTAATGGTAACAGTGTTTTAAATGGAATACCCTATTTTTTGTTTGCCAGTACAAAGAGGAGATCAAAATGTATCCAACAATGTATCACACAATTCATAAATTCTATTCACATCAAAGCACATACCACACGTATATACCGAAAATGTACAAAATCCTCAGCCTACTTATTTCCATTTAGGCCAAACACGTTCACCTTACCCTATATTTCCTCATTCTATATATTATTATATAAATGTTATTAAATATAATTATAATTTATATATATAAATTAACGAGCAAAGTTCAGATGTTTACCGTTCAATTCCGCGTTTTACCCGCCTCGTAAACACTTTTCGACGTCTCCAGTCGTTTTGCCTGCGGGGCAAAGACGAACGGAGCTGTGTTAACTCCCCTTCTCCCACACGTGTCTGGTGTATTGTCTTCATTCCGGTCAATTTGAGCGTTTAGCCGGTGTGTGCTAGCGGTAACAAGAGCATTTAGTCGGAAAGTTCCGGATGGAAAACTTTACGAACGCGTTACAAGTCGGGAATAGGCGAGAGGAAACCGGGCGAACTTCAACCCGGTTAAAACCGATGTGTACAACGCATCCTCCTACGGTATTAGGCCAGCCGATTAGCGGGTTCTTAAGCAAGTCCCGTTGAAACAATACTACCGGCGACCGGCGATAATTGCGGCAGACATTTTTGCTTGATGTAGGTTCAGTCGGAGAGAGAGAAAAAAAGAAGGGAGGGGGGGAGTGGCGCCCTGGACACACAGACGACCTCAAAACTCGAGCAACGTCTGCTAAGCCCTTTAACCCAGCGGTGGGCAAAGTTAGCTCCCAGAAGCTAACACTTGTTCCATCACCGTCCACCGTTAACCATGGAGTGACAGGGACAAGAGTCTGGGCTTCTTTGTTTCTACGAAGCCACACGGTGCGAAAGAAAGGTTGGAAGGGGAAACAGGCGCGTGAGGTGCCCCTACGCTGCCCAGCGTTGTTTTAACCCTAGGATCCATAACGCTGGGTATTTTGTACCCACTTAAATATTCATTCTTAGATTTCTTTCTTGTATGTGGTGTTGTGAATTCCTTCATTGTGATTTGATATACAGTGGACTCTTACGATATTGCCATGGGCGGGGCTGTAGGGGAATGAAACGGCAATAAGTCGAGAGCCCTCTCCGCGCTAACAAGCAGAGGTCACAGTCGTTGGGTCGGTGATTTTAATGAAACTTTTTCTGGCGAAAATTGAGCAAAAATATACCGACACGTATTTTGACGTTTTCGTTAATACTCATTTTTTATGAAGATATTTTGTATGTAATTTGTATGATTTCAACAAATACACGATTAATAGAAGCTAGTTGCAACAGTTATGGTACCGAAGGTAGTTAAGTTCTTAAATAACTGTATCGATGATTCAAATGCTCGAAAATGAATTTTTTTTTTCTTTAAATCTACGTTCCTTTTTTTTTAATTTTGTATTATATGTTAAATTTTTTTCTTTTCTTTTATTTTTTAACATCACTGTTAGACGCCTCCATATTTCTCATTTTTCTTACATAATATTAATAATAATGATACCAATAATAATAATAATGAAATCAATAATAAAAATTAATCAAGCAGTAGAGAACACTAAGAAATCGAACGTTACTGTATCCTGTTTCTTTGAAGACGTACTATGAAGCAAATGAACAGCATTTGAAAGGAAAGACTTCTCTATCAGTGTTTATTCGTCATATACAGGGTGTCCAAAAATAGCTTCGACTTCTGGAAACGAGGGGTTTCTGGGATGATTTGAAATAACTTTTTCCTTAGCAAAAATGTTATCCGAGGCTTTGTTGACGAGATATTAACGAAAAACCCCGACCAATCAGACCGATGATAGCTTAAAAAATATAGAAAAAATTTAACAAATAGTACGAAATTAAAAAAAAAAGAAACATATACATTTAAAAGAAAAAGAAATTTTAATTTTATTTTCTGGGATTCGAAACACCGATACAGTGATTTAAGAACCCAACACTTTACCACCTACGTTACCATAGCTGTAACAATTAGCTTCTATTAATCCTGTACTTGTTGATATCATGAAAATTACGTATGAAATATCAGTAATCATAATAAAAAATCTGAAATCCGTCATTTTGACGGGTTCGGTAGTCGTAGTGAGCTTATTAGATATTTCGACGATGACGGCACACAGCCCCCGGCATAGAACGTACTTAACTCTTTAAGTGTTTTATTTCATTTTTAAAACGTGCACTTGTGTGCTCAATCATTTTCAAACTGTAACGAGTATACTCGACAGAAACAGAGTAGATGCATTTGCTGCAAAATTGAACTAAATTCTAATAAAATGACACATATACTCTTGCGACTTTACTGCCATCTATTGCTAAAAAAGTCACTGCCTTATCAAACAGCCCTCGTACATACAGGGTGAACCATGAATCGTGATCAGTAGAGATTACTCTGTTATTAGCAGTCTGATAGAAAATGTTTTTATCAGGTATAGCATGGTTTCAAGAGAGCTTTAACGTGATTGTAGCAAATTTTTTGGCAACTCCTTTTTTTCATGATTTTTCAAGGTCACCTTCAATTTTTTGCAAATACATATATAATTTTTTTACGCCTATCTGTTAGAGGATTTTAAGACGAATTCAGTAAGTATCATAACATAACATATATTAGGCGTAAAAAAATTATAGCTGTATTTGCAAAAAATTGAAGGTGACCTTGAAAAATCATGAAAAAAAGAGGTGATAACAAATTTGCTATAATCACGTGAAAGCTCTCTTGAAAACATGCTATACCTAATAAAAAGATCTCTACTGATCACGATTCGTGGGTCACCCTGTATACTGCTGCATATTCCTTTTTTCCAAGTGATTTTTTATCTTTCTGTGTTTTCTTTCTTTTACGTCATAGAATATACTAAAACGTGTTAAAATTACGGATATGATTTTTTCTTTTACCTAAATTTTACTTTAGATAGCAAATGCCACCTTTTCATGACGAGTATACTCGATATAAAAATCTAAAGGGTTAAAATAAAAACGAACCATTTTTTTCTAGGATATATAATCTATCCTTTGCGGGAGAAACATTATTTCTCAGTACGATTTCAGACATCGCATATTTGGTCCGTTTTTATTTTAATCACAATAGGTTGAAAAATTCTGCCTGAAACGTAAAATTATTGTAATCATCAATCATTGTAGATCCGTTCATTATAATCTCTAAAATTATAAATGAAGCTAAGTGTAACTGCAACTATGAAAAATAAGATTTGAACCAACATAATTCGGCAATGCCTCTTGTATTTACGACACTCAAAGATTGAAGCTAATTAAAAAATTTTAAAAAAAATGCAACTGTTTCTACCACTAAAAATAAGGGTACTACTAGTCAGCCAAACATTGCAGCATTTTCATATGTATGTATATCACTTTTTAAGAAAATGTAATCTACAAATTTAAACATGCAATATTTTACTCTATCGAAATCCACATGTATCTCTAAATATCGTACATATATATGTAATCTAACAATCTATATTAAAACCCATGTAAATCCATATAACTCTCACTGAAAGTTCTTTTGTGCTCAAATAAGAACAAAATAAAAATTCTAAGGTGGTTTTATAGATACGCCACACGTTGTATTAGGACGTCTTGTCTGAACGAAAGTTCTTCACCAAAAACTATAGTATCCCGATTTTTCACAGTATTCTATGAAATATAATAAAAGAGAAAGCTATAATCGAATACAACAAATTCTCTATTTTATTCTTAACCCAAGAAGATACTCAAAGGAAGAAACAAATTTCTACATTTGTTCATACATTCATAAGTTACTTTATAAAATACCATTTTGCATAAAAATCCACAGTCTATTAATAACCCTCTTGTTAGAGGTTGATGCAACTATAAAGTACGAATAATAAAAAAAAAAGACCTAATACTTCGTCTCTGTCTAAAATCAGGTAGTTCCTTTTAACATCGATGAAAGTGTATTGAAATCAGTGAAAAAGGAAGCAGCACCTTTTGTAATAAAACGACGAGGACGCAGACATAGAGGCCAAAATCTCGAGCAGTCGAAACGTTCCAATGTTCCCGAGCGAATTCCAGACTGAAATCTTTCTAGACAGGTCGATACGCAAGGTCCGTAACAATTAGAGCTTTTAGCAGCGCGCACTGGATTTGCTTAACGTTTCTGGTGATACAGTTACCGGTTTGTAGGGACCACGTTCGAAATGAACCCGACACGAATCGTTTCTCAGTTGCTCCTTGGATTTTATCGGCGCCGGTTCGTTCAAATCCGAATCTTAGTTCGTCACCTCCACGTTATTTAAATCGTCTAACGACCGTTCTAATTGAATCGGTGATACCAATCGACGGTCAAACAAATTTTTTTTCCCCCATTTCACACGCCCCAAGTGCTTCGAGAATCGACGAACGCGTATATGGATCCGACGAGGCGTGAACGAATCGGTCGCAGGTGAATCGAGTTTTTTATTTTCATGAATCCTGTGACATAGAACGACGAACAGTGCCGCGGAGACACGTGCTCACGAATGAGAGGAATAAGACGAACGTTCCAAGCAGTCCCGAGGGTTCCTTGAAGAGTTTGGACACGATCGAAGAGGAAAGAAATTATGGGTAAATGTGTAAACAAAAATTATGGCTAAAGGTGTAAAAAAAATTATGGGTAAATGTGTAAATAAATTATGTGTAGTAATTTTTAAACATCTACGATGGAAGTTATTTTCGACTCAACCGAATACAGTAAATCCTCGGCGAGTGCTCGAAGGCTCCACGACATTAAACATTAAATATCTCATAAACTAATGGACGTATGCGACTGAAACAAATATCATTGGCTTCAGAATTTCAAACTCTCTCAGTGTGCTGAGCCTCAGTGGAAACGTCAGCGTTGCACCTGGGGACCTCTCCTTGTCAGCTTCGAACACTCATCAAGGATTTACTGTATTTGATTGATCGAAATGGGTAATTGAATTGGGTTGTTTGGCAGTCATGATGAGACTGTGGACATTCGTCTTTAGTATTTTAATTTATGAAAATTAATATCGAGGAAAATAATATTATTTCTATTGGGACATTTAGGAAGTCGAGAATGATACGATGTCTTTGTGGATCTTTGCGGAAATTTGTATTTCAGTGCGGTTTATGAAACATATGGAAGATGTACAAGTTTATCTACCTATAATTTCATGATAATAATAATAATATTTATTAGGTTATGAGCCATTTGGTACAATATACAAGTATGCATATGGAAGTCTAGAGGGCAAAGAAAAAGTTTAAATATACAATAATGCGTAGAGATATATCAGTGTTTAGAAAGGCTTACAGTAACTGTATAGAAAGTTTTAACAAGATTTAGTAAAAATTCTACGAGACTGTATGAAGAATAACAAAAATAAACAACAAAAAAAAGAAAACATTTGCAAATATATCTACAAGAATATACAGAAAGTTCTGATTATGTAAAAAGAAATGTGCAATTATCGATAAAATAACAAATAACGTACTTAATTTCTATTGTATATTTAATAATGTATTTAAATTCTATTGACGTAGTCTAATTTTTATCATACCCAGAGAATAATTGAGGAAATTTAACATATTTTGCAACTGTAAAGAAGGAATGAAGCTCGTAATAATAAAATTTACTTTCGATTTTGATTATACAAAATTTAAAAGCATAAAAGAGGAAAATTGATTCTCTATTGATCTAACAATTATGATAAAAAAAATGTTTTCATCGTGAAGTATAATACTTTTATTTGGTGAAAAGCGCTTCTGAGTGTTTCTTTTCTTATAAAATCACGTTTGATTTATAAATTTTAAGTTTGTGTTCCACCTCACGTGCTTCTGGTGATTCTTAACACATATCACTAGCAAACTTTGAGTAGTCGAACAACAAATCAGTTTTCATGCTGGTCATCTGTACAATACTAATTTTCCGATAATATTTCATTTCTTTTACTAGCTTAATTAAAGTTTAACTGACACTGAATTCCATTGTATCGTTTATTTTAATAAAAATAAAATCGTATTCGTCAGTGTTCAAAAGTAACACACACCTATGCTTTTCGTTTGTTTAATGAATTTACAAACAACCACTTTATTTGTTAATGTAAAATAGAATACTCATAAGGGAAAAAGCTACCACAAAATACTACATAGAGTAACACTAATCTAAAATTTCAAATTGATTTTAAATTTATAATAAAAAGTATCCAATATTCATTCTTTTTGTCCAATATTCATTAATTTCAGACAGAATTCGAACGAATATAGTTTGTCACTGTCTCCTGCTCGTCGTTTGCATCTCCCACGCCTCGACAAACGATAATCGTCATAGAGTAGGCCGATCTACGGAGGCGAGCGAGTCAGAGAAAAATTCTGAAGCCTTTACAGCTCTGCAAACGTACAGGTATCTTGAAAATATGTTTGAAAAATTCTTCATCGATTTTATAGAAGCCGTTTAGTGACGATATAAAATCGAATTGATCGATATGTTTCTTTGTTAGATATCCAAGGGCGTATCGACGTGGTTATCAAGATGACGATTACGGGGACGATCATCACGACGATCACCACGACCACGAAATAATAAAAGAAGAGAACAAAGAAATGAAGGCCATGTCGGAGCCGAAAGTCGACTATTGGGGGGGCTACTACGACTTCCTCATAAACGAGGGTAGTTACAAATTTTGGGCGGTCTTTCAGGTGAGTTTCTATTGATCTGTTAACACTAGAACTACCAAACCTGTAAAAATGACGGATTATCGATTTATTATTTTACCATTACTGAAATTATAATGGTACTTTTGACGGAATTTATTACTACAGATTTTATTTTATGGTATATTATGCTAGATTGTCTTATATATTCTGTACATTATTGTATCATACAATTTAATTTAGTATACATTCAATGCTGATAGTTCTACTGTTAATTATAACGGAATTGAAAACCGTATCTTAACATTCATAACTTAGTAAATTGAAACATTAATAACGGTCCATATTGTATGTAATGATATTAAATAAAAGAGATCCGATACAATCGTCATCTCTTACGAAAACAAAATGTAAAGATGCGTATCCAATTATTGTTGTGTATCAATGTGGATAGGCAAGCTTTGCATCGTTGCGTATGGAAATGTATCGTATGATGATACGATACGAGGATACGCAACAAATGGATACGCACCTTAAGTGTTGATGAATATATTGGGTTGAGTCGTAAATAATTTCCATCGTGAATGTTTAAAAACTACTACATAGTTTATTAAATAGCAACTTTAATAAAATTAGTTTAACTGAATAACTGTTACTGAATTCCAAAATAATCGAGGATGTGTAATACATGGTGGCCCAATAACTCTGACCACCCTGAATATCTCCGTTATTTTTAGAGATATGGACACTGAGATTTGTACACAAAATTTGTATAGCAAAGAGATATCTATAATATACAAGTAATATTTTTTTTCTAAATGGAAGACTTTCGAAGATGTCAAAGTCGCCTATATTTTTTTTAAATGAAATTCTATATTTTTTTTGTTTCAAGTAAAATAGCGTATGTTTAGACGAGTTTAACGACCAACACAAGGTCATTTGACAATAAATATTATTAATTATACTAATATTATTATAACAGTATAATCAAGTGACCTTGTATTGTTGAAATCTTCTAAACATCCGCTATTTTACTAGGAATAAAAAGTTTATTTACGAGGTCTTTTAAGACGATTCAAAGACGCCTTAGACCTTAAATAGCCGTAAAATAGGCGTCATGTGTTATCTGGGCTTGAAATCTACAGAAGTTTTACACTTAGAAAAATATTATTACTTGAATATTATAGGTACCTTCTTACCATACCAATACTGAAAACAAATAAGTCTTTCCTTATCTCCAAAAACAACGGAGATATTCAAGTGCAAATACTTATTCGACCACCCTATATAATGTATAAAAAATTAAATAACTGATCGGTGGAAATTATGTTCGTAAAATTTTTCTAAGACAATATTTTGCTATTATAAAAGCGTATTTGTATTGCTATTTACAGCTTGCCACGGCGGCCCTCCTTATATACAGCGGTTTCGCCGCGCTTTATTACGCAAAGGTGAATCCTCCGACCACCGACGACGAATTCGACGACATATTCCGTCGTCGACGAAGACGATCGTTGTTCGTTAAGCCCCAGGAGAAGCCATTTTGCGGTTTGGACAGCGTCACGTTTCAAAGGATACTCGACGCAGTCGCCAAAGAAATTCATTGAACGAAAATAATTCCCCCTCCCCCTGCAATGGTCCAGAATCGAGATCTAGTAGCTCTAATGGTCAAAAACGAATTTCTCTTTGCTTCCAAAAAACTCACATTAACTTATTATTAATCATGGAAGATCTGTTCCATGCATTATTGTCCTCCTTAGAGTCTAACAGTGAATCCCATCATTTTCAAGAAACTCTGAATTTTTATGGACCTTTTTCTATTTGTTTATGATGATACGAAACAGTCTAAGGCTTACACTACTCCGTATCATCATGAACAAATTCAGAAAAGTTCCCTAAAAATTCAGCTTCCTAAAAGTTCCCTAAATAATCGTATGAACTACTAAATTTTGATTTTGGACCACAGTGCTCCTCCCCCCAATTTCCACGAAAGTTAAAATATCGAGGATAAATTAAAAAAAAAGTGAAAGCAGTTTCATTCACGACATGTTGAGGACGATTCTTTGTATAATTATATCGCGAGCTATCGAAACTGACAAGATCTTCGAACTTGATCTATTTACACTTTTTTTGTTTTCTTATCCTCGAGAATACTCAGATCTCACAGTTTCTACGATTTCTACGTTAGAACGGAACAGAGAATGGCATTCTACTCGTGGAAATTTTATAAGATAAATGTCCCAGTTACTGCCAGTGTGCTTAATACTGCCACTTTATTTATTTTACTTAATAAAAACGTAACGTATAAAGAATGGCGTACAAACAATATTTTTATTAAATTCGAACTCTAATTTACACAAAAACAAAGAAGTATACATGCACTTGTATGTACCTGGTATGTAAAAATTAATATTGAAAATTAAAAGTGCAATTATGCGTTAACAATGCGACTACGTAAGTAGGAAGTGGTGGCGAAATTATACTAAAGAAAGAGCCGTAATTTTACTGTTCAACGTACAGACTCCTCTCGATTATCGTCTGGCTTGTTCTACACGATTATTGTCCAAGCGTTATCCCCACCACTGGGACGAGGGGAGGCTGTGGAATCTGTCAAGGGCATACTTCATTGCCCCTTTGCTTTTATTGCTGGAGCTTTGGGCAAAAAACGAATTTACGATGGTCTGAAGCATTTCTCCCTATACGATTATTGTCCCAGCGCGGTCTCCTGTTTGGAATTAAATTTGGAATTAATTCTTCTTGTTTAATGTATAGAGCTATTTTCTTTAATGAAAAGAATGTTAAATAATATTACATTCAAAATTGAGACGATTTTGAAGTTAAATAACACGTAAAATGATTAAATGACGTTACGTTACAATGGTAAGGTGGCAGTGATTGGAACATTTACCCTATATAATATAATTTGTATATATGTATAGTAATATTGTGTATAACTTAATGAATATAGTAGCTCAGTATCTCGTAAGAGATGTTAAGAGACACGGAAAAATCTGTGCAGCTGGTTTTCTGTTTGATTTACATGCAGAAATAAAATACAAGCTGGTCTGGAGGAAATTTATATCGGCGGTCTGACTCATAGTTTATGCGTAATAAAATCGTAGACGGGATAATACGAACGTCCCACCGGTGTCGTTCGGCAAGAAAATAGACAACTCACTGTAACTTATTGATTCGCGTTCAAAAGTATGACTGGATCTAGTATAACGATTACATAACAATATAGTTTCAGTTTCCATATTAAAATTAGGAAAATTAAGCGACAGATAACTGATAATGATGAAATTTGAACTTCTGTGAGTTACAGTTATATGTTTCATTTTAGGAAAAATATACAGAAATAAGGTTCAATGTTTGATGTTTAAAAAAGTACAGTATAAATGAAAATCAAGGTTGATAAGATGAGAATTAAACGGCTGCTGTGGTGATTTCGATGCCTGGTTAGCAAGAAGTCGTTTAGCAAGAAAACGGACGCTTTAACTCACTATGTATAACTGATTGATTAGCGTTCAAAACGCTACTGATATATTTACTAGTATGTACTACATCTGGTATAATAAGTACATAACAATTCAGGTCTATTTGTCATATTAACATTAGGAAAATTAAGCTGTAGATAATGAACGCAAATTTGGACATCTATAGTAGCGAACAAAAAAATTACCACTTCTTCAATTTGTTTCATTTTTACTATTTTTTAACGTCAACTTAAAACTGTAGTATGTGCTTAAATATATGTATATTCTGATAGACTAAAAAGTAGTATAAAACCCAGTATTATATAAGGTTTTAAGTTGATGTTAAGGAATAATAAAAATAAAAAAATATCACAGTGCGTGTTTCATTCTATTCAAAAGATTCTAAAATATCGATATACACAAATGGCAAGTTCCTGTGTTTGATTTAAAAAAAAAAGTAAAGAAAAAGTCATGGGAATGAAAGTCTACGTCGATAAGTATGTAGGAAGGCTGTTCCGGTGATTTCGAGGCTGGTAAGGCCATCGTCAACGAGTTAAAAAGCAGAGAAGTGGATAAAACCGATGGTAAATTCGACTTGCACGATGTTATAAATTATAAATATATCGTATGGATCCAAATGACACGCGTTTAGTCAGTGGAATCTCCCTGGAAAAGCGTGAAATGTGAGAAATTTAGTGGTCCATCAGTGAGACGCCATATTAGGGCTCGGTGGCGGTAGCGGACACGGGGCCAAAATGTATGCGCGGAGGGATCAAAACGTAATAAAAATCCCCCGAAAAAATGTCGACCGATAAATCAACCGTGTCATCCTGGTCGCGTACATATGCACCGACGTCCATACGAGTTTTATATGTGAACACGTATGTATATGCGCGCGATATGCGCGCGGTTCAAGCTCGGAGGCAAATTTTCTTGTCCAACAGCGCTGCGTAACGGCGGCCCTCGAGCGCCTTTTGGCAACGACAGGAGCGTACCTATGTCGGACCCTTTCATTTTTCCCAACAGATCCATTATTTTATCCCTTTGTTTTGCCAACAGATCGATTATTTTATCCTTCCATTTTTTCAACAGGTCAATTATTTTAACCCTTCATTTTACCAACAAATCAATTATTGTATCCCTACATTTTTTCAACAGGTCAATTATTTTATTCCTTCGTTTTTCCAACAGGTCAATTATTTTAACCCTTCATTTTTCCAACAAATCAATTATTTTATCCCTTCATTTTTTCAGCAGATCAATTATTTTATTCCTTCATTTTTCCAACAGGTCAATTATTTTAACCGTTCACTTTTCAAACAAATCAATTATTTTATCCCTTCATTTTACCAACAAAACAATTATTTTATCCCTCCATCTTTTCAACGGGTCAATTATTTTATTCCTTCATTTTTCCAAGAGATCGATTATTTTGTTAGGTGAAAAATATATTCAAAAATGTCTATTATGCCTTGTTATAGCTCTGACTATTTCCAGGCTTTATAAATTTCACAAATTGACTTCACAAAGTGACTATTGCGTCGGTCACCGATGACTATCGTGTAATACAAATTAACAAGTAACTGAACTGTTTCATAGAGATGGTCAAATTCATTATCTACATAAAGAGTTTCGAAAAACGAATAAAAGATAAAAAAGTAAACGTAGAAATTCCAATTTTTGTAATAAAATAACACTTCTTCTTGAATGGGTCGACATTTGACAAACAATTATTGAATCTCATTAACTGTTTAAAGCCCAGGACAATCCCTCGCATACTCCTGCTTTTCACTAGGTATGTTTTATTCGAATAAAATTGTGCCCAACTCTGCTGTTTCACTATTTCTCTAGCTACGTTTTTAAAAACGAGCATTAACGAACTTAATTGTTTTATAACATCGAGTCGGACTCGTGGTGATAATTTCAAACTTGATTCAATCAACATGAATTAGTTTTCTTTAAATCGAAGCGACATATGTATCATTTTATTAATATTATTATTTACCATTTTAGAGTAAATATATACACTCGCGATAAGTATGAAATTCCCTTTGTTTCCGGGACATTATTCAATAAATTGATTTATTATCAATAAATTGATTTAATATCAATAAATTGATTTATTATCAATAAATTGATTTCTGGAAACTACAATAGTCAAGAAAATTGCAAGGCAAAGGGTTAAGCTTATTTCTTTAAGTAACCTTAATGATTTGTGAAGATTCACTGTACCATTTATTTTACTAACTTTCCTCAAAACAATATTTATTTAAGATTCTCTATGATTTTGCAATGTTTCTTTCATATTTACTTTCTATTCAGTAGAGTTTCTAATACCTACGAATGAGAATCTTTATTGTACCGTTTCTTTGTAAAAATGAAAATCAACCATAAATACCTGAAACGAATGTTTTATACCAGCCACATAGAAATATAACAATAATTGTAGTTTTATATGAATGAGAAAAAGTAAATTCAGGAAACTAATTGTCGGTCTTGATGGGGAATCTTCCCACCAGAAAATGACGCACGACCTGTCCTTTTAGTGAATACTTAAAACCGTTTGGTCCTTCAACCGCGGCAGGATAAATCATTGCTTTTTAATAGCTTCACGGTAAATCGATTATTTGAGAAACCAGTCGAGTCCATTCTTTGAAATAAGTACTTCGCTAAGTGGAGACTCTTGTACGTCTATATGCGTGAGAGAGCACTCCAGTATTGGAGGTTATTCTAAATATTACGGATCTTCACTATAATTCAACAGTAATAAACTTTTTAACTAAAAAAAGAAGAAGGAAAAACATTTCTCTTTAATGATAACTAAATTTTTCTTGGCGATGTATCAGTAATTAATTGAACATTAACAATTCTGATTTCCTCGAACCTTTTAACTTTTTTGAAGTGAGAATCTTTCGAACAATTTAATTAAAAGTAAGATACGATAAAAATACATTTTTTTTAGACGAAAATTAAAAAGAAATTTGGTTACTATTTTTCTCTTCCGTTCGAATTTCGTCTGATATGGAAAATATCGAGTGTGGTCTTTTAATGATAATAGAAATTAAAAAATTTTTAGAAAAACTGACAAGTATTTCTATACCAAAATCTATTCTTATTGACTGGCAAAGTCT